GGGAGAGGGCTCTCAGAAGGGGATACCGTCCGGAGCATGTTGCTTGGGAGGGTCCACCATTGGAGGTCGGCAACCACCGTTGGCGGCACCGTAACAACCTTGTCCAGGCCGTCCCTGGCCTGGGAGTAGCAGGAGGCCAACCAGAGTTGGAGGGGCCCCATCTGGAGCCTGGCATGTTGCACCACTGTGGTGCATGCTGCCATGTGGCCACTAAGGCTAGAATGCTGCAGCATAGCTGGAGCACAAAGTTCCAACTACCTTCACTGGCGGCAAGAAAGAACTGAGGGTGGGGGGAGCACGCAGCCCCTTTTATGGCGCGATATGTCGGCGCCACTCCAGGGGTCGCAGCGGTGTTCCCCCACTACGGATACTGCTAAGGGAAAAACTTCCGGCACCAGTGCACGTGGCGAGCACGCACACCTACTGTGGAATACACAGGAGCAATCACTCGAAGAAGAATGGAAGCTTGCTGCTTTTTGGAATCAGAGCAATTGGGTTTTTAACAAGTTTAACCCAACTCTGGAACTTTGGATTAAGGGCAGGGTTGTTCCCAAATAATAGGCACTTGAATATAAAACACTTAAATAATGTTTCTAGTTTCAATATTTAATCCAAGCAGACAACGAACAGGTTTATAAAATTATTCTGTTGAATTAAAATTCTGTATAGCATTTAACTCTTATGAATAATTTTTATCCTTCAGTGTATCTTAAGTTCATATTTTAAAATATGTTTGCACAGTCCTTTATGCAACTACATGCTAGAAATCTGCAGATGCACAACTTAACACTAAACAGGACAAAAAAATACATTCCATATCCATTCATATGCAAATTGAAAACATTTCACTTGGCAGATAAACAATGAAAAGTTATTTTAAAAAAATCAAACTACAAAAATGCACACATAAAAGTCTTCCCTTCTGGATTTTTAATAAAATACTGCTCTGTATAAGATCTAATGAAAAATTCCAGTACTTACAAAATACTTTATATCTATGAGAAAAATGAATGTTTAAAGTTATACCTGTATGAATTAAACATAATTACAGAGTTGACATAGAATATAAAACAAAAGAGCTGAAATAATAGATGATATGGCATAGGTCAATGTACGTATCACATGTAACAGAACATGTGAAAGCTAAAGTAAGTTGATTGGGCACCAGGTAGTGGACATTACAGAACGCATAAATACAGATAAAATGGTCAGTAAGGGTAACTAGGAGCTAATACAATACACAGCAGATACAGAATCAAATATTTAACTTATGTATAGAAATTTAATATGGCAGTTTCAGTGGCACTGGGAAAAAAATTCAGCTCCTGGTTTGAAAGAAGTAACCATTTCATGAAAAAAAAAAAGGTTTATTTATACTGGCATTGACATAGTCTCCTTCACAAATCATTCTTTACATATCTGCATATCTGGCTATCTAGATACAAGAGGACATTATAAACTATGTAATTCAGTATTTCAGCAGAGACTCTAGTATCCACACTCAGCATCTACTAGTCACGTAATCTTGGGGATAACACTGAAAAACAAGGTTTTATGGAGATTAGAATCTCTTAGGAAGGTTTGTAGGTGTGCTAGCAGAACATAATGCAGTTTTCTCCATAATGGGAGCTTTTCAAAAGATCGCGCCTTGGAGATCAAATAATAGTACAAGAGACTGGGAACTCAGGGTCTGGAAATCTAGTTAGGAGAAGCAACATTTTAAAAATATTTATGCCAGCATCAGTATCATGCCAACATCATCCCTAATGTTGTTGATGCGATACATTGTGAAGGTCAACTTAGTGGAATGTACCTTAAGATCCTCTAAAAGGCAAATCTCAAAAAATACGACAGAGTTAATATATTTTAATAGATGTTGCCACTGAGAAACAGGATTTTGAACCCTATAAATCTAAGTTAATTTAAACAAGAAATTGTTTCAATCAATTTAATAATTAAAGATCTTAAAATTCACATTGTGAAGAATGAACTCACATTGGAAAGCATTAGATTTAAGGAAAAGCACCCAACGCAGCAGAATACAGATGAACCTTTGAGACAAAGTAGGAGCTAGCTGCTATTGAGAGACTCACTATCTCCTTAAAAAAAGTTGTACAAAAGTTAATCAGTGTAAAGACCTGCAGTTTGCTTTTCTAGCCTGGAGATGTGCAGGGATTTTGAATGACTAACAAGGCACGACATAAAAATAATCCTGAAACGACATGATTTCTGGAATCAGGGTTTAAATATACTGGATCCACATACAGATTCTGTCATCTCTACAGTCAATCCAGATTAACCAGAAGAGTTTTATGATTATGTACAGACTACTATAAAAGGATTGGGGTATCAGAGGCCCAGAAGACAAGTATCTGGCCAAAAAAGACAGAATAAAATTTCTGAGAGAACACACTGTCTACGGGCAGGATAGAAATAGCAATAGCTATCAAAGTCCCCTGAAAGGAAGGACAGCAGAGAGGAGACAAACAGTTTTGGGCAAATGAATCAAAAACCTTAGCAAGAGAAACATCTGTGAGATGAAATTAGACACTACTATAGGAAAGTGAAGCTATGTTACCTTGGCAAAATAGCAAGACAAATGGAGGAAAATTCTGCAAACTTGCATGTGCTGCATGAAGTCTGCTTAGAGACAATGTATTGAATCACTGATTAAAGTCTGACACATCACTAATGCTTTTAGGGTTTGGAGGAAAAGTATTTTCACCAGGACAGACAAGAATAAGGTAAAAATGGTGGTGCAGATCCAGCCAACATCTGCAGAGTGTGCCAAATGAGAAGAGACATCAGACCAAGTTTTGCTTTGGATCCATACAATTTTCATTTATGGATGCGTGGATCATAAGATAGTACAAGGCTCTTTCAGTTTTTTCTTTCTTTTAGATAGAGTAGATACATAAAGAATGAAGATATTACTAGTTAAAGTGATAATTCCCTCCAAAAAGGTAAATCAAATTTTTTTTGTCTGGATGTTATTAGAGAAAAAGCTTAGAACTCTAACTCAGGGATGACAATTTAGTGTGTCCTCTGCCACCATATATTATCATGAAATTAAAATATCTATTAAAAGTCAGCTAACAAACAAAAAAATAATAATTTAGAAAAGAGAAACTGCCAGATTACAAAGTTCACTCTATGGTGAAAATTGTAGATGGGAGAAATTGGCTCAAAGGATGACATGAGTTTAATTAACATGCTATATACAAATACCTTTGCACTCTACTCCTTTTATAATTTAGAAAATTCAGGATTTTTGTGGCTTTTGGAGTCCATGAAGAAGTGCATGTGGATGTGTAGTGGAGATGTATGTTGGTTAACTAGTAAAGTGGAGTCAGATATTAAAATGAATCATAACTAGCAACTTTATTAATATAATTTGAAGTGAGAACTTCTGTTCGCAAGTCAATTTGCATTTCCTGTATTCTATAAGCCTGTGGTCTCCAATTAATTTATTCCCCTTCTCTGTTAGCAACCCATCTACTTTGCCATTTTGTAAAATTCATCCTGTAACAATAATTCTAGATATGTAATGATTTCTAACTTCTGAGAGTTTTAGAACTGCTACCATTTGGTATGAAACCTAGAAATGAATGTAGTGACAGCAAATCTGGCAGTGCCACCACACTTCTATTCCACTCCTTCAGATCAGAAGGACCTAGAGACCCAATAAATACGAAATTTAGTAAATAAAAGCCTTCTCTATTTTATAAAAAAGGAGTTAAAATACAAAAGCTCATGTTAGGCAATGCCCCATACCCCACCACAAAAGCAAGGCAATTCTGAATTAGGATTCCCACTCTAATATTATTGCTGCTCACCCGCTATAGAATGTAAGCCAGTGTTCAGAGACCTAGGCACCAATGGATCGTGTGGTGACCTTAATTCAGGATTTTCCGGCTTTTATCAGTTTAAGTCAAGATCTTTAATCAATTTTTAACATAATTGTTATATGTATTTATCAACAGCCTGGAAAAGCCTAGCAACTGAAACGTCTCACTCTTTATTATACTTATTTTTTTTAAATAATGCTTTATGATTTTTTAAAGAAGATATAAACACTGGGCTAAGAGGAAAAATAAAATCATACTTAAAATGGTTGATTTTTCTAAATAGCACTATGATTTTTTTAAGGATATATATATCTATATCTCTATATCTATCCTTAAAAATCATAAATTTTATATATATGAAATTTTATATATATACAAAAAACACTGGGGGAAGAGGAAAGATAAAATCAATCTAGCTACAGTATTTATTCTGAAGATTTTGGTGCACCAAAGTTGACAGCCAGTTTTCTTGGCTTTCGTTTGCTAGAAGTGTTTGGTGTTGATTTGTTATGAGGAACGCCTGGAGTAGCTACGTTGTCTTGAAAAGAAACAGCAGACTGAACAGCTTGAGGAGATTTTAAAGGAGTTGAAGTATCTTGTTGAATGAGCTTGTCGGTGTCAGAATACATTAGCTGTTCATTCTTTAGTGGTACAGCTTGAAGGGAACTCTGGAATTCTTTGAACTCGAAATTTTTCTTGCTAGCAGCCCTTTTTTTAGTTACCTTTAAATCAAATAAATATTATTTAAAAGAATGTAGTCTCACAAAACTGCAAATATACCACTATAAAAATGCATATAGAGCAGTTTAATAATTTTCTAAAACTAAACAATGTATCATAGGAGAGTCTTTGCAGCTATCATATCTCTATTATAAGATTACACGATTGTCACCCTGAAGCCTAGAATATTGTGGAGTCAGTGTGAAGAGATGGAAACAGCTACAAGCATGGTTGAGAGCTCTCTTTGTTCAGAATATCACCATGTTGAAACATCACTGGCATTCAGGGTCAGATATGGACCAGTTTTTAAGTTCTCGGCCATTTTCAACTTATGTATACACTTGACTTTACAAGTTACATCCATGTGATATCATGGGCTTTCAGCTTGTATATAAATACTTTTAACATCTTTTATAAAAATATGATCTCGAGACAATTCCTGTCATGCTTACCTGTAGAGGAATAAACTGGTTGTGAGTACCAACTGGTACAGTTCCTGCAAGAGGCATATTCCCAGGATATGAACCAGGATAATAAGATTTGCCATGAATAGGCACTGGAGCTCTCCATGGCATTGGACCAAACATGTGAGATGATGGAGGCATCATATTAGCTGTAAAAAACAACAAACTACTTTTAGTTTCTATTATTTCCTTTTAGGAGGGTGGGGAGTTCTCCAAACCCAGAGTATTTCCAGGATATTTTTTCACTTTGCTTCTTTCACCACAAAGGCTTCTTTCTCCTTTTACAACTGAGGAGGGCAGAATGCACTCTCTCTGGATCCAGTCAACAATGCAAAGACTGAGGAGAAGTGGGAGAGCAGTGCCTGCTTGGGGACCTTGAATCCTACACTATTGCTAACTGCCTAATTGCTGGTCACTACTGTCACAACCCTTCTTGTACTCTACAAAAATAGCAGAGCATTAATGGTACCATGGGAATTTTCAGCAGGCTTTCTTGGGTTGTTACATCACGACATTGCTTGGCAGAGGGTGGCAGGCTTCCTACATAGTATCTCAGGGAAGTACTGAAAAGACTCAGGAGAACTGATTCCAAAAAATATGACAAAGAGTGCCTTGATTTGCCAATTCACAGATGATTGTTAGCTATAGGAGAAAATACTAGAGAACTGTTGAGATGATATGGAGGGGAAATCACAAAAGCAGAGCTTTCTGGCAGGTCCTAGAAGTAGATGCGTCTTTCCTCCTGCTGACCAGGACCAACAGTTCTAGACTGCTTCCCATTGTATTCAGGAGAAAAACCAATAGATAGCACATTGACATATGTCCTGAGAAGAACAACCGAACAAATGTTAAGGTGTGGAATTCTTTGGTTTTATTTTGTGTGTCCAGGAGAGGGGGTTCATGAATTTCCATTTTCAAGGAGGTTCAGAGGTACATCTACATACAGCAGGACCTAAAATGGTGTTCTCTAGAAGTCACCCATCTTTACAAAATCCTATTAGAATTACAGTCAAGTTTTCAATTATTTGAAAAAAGTGTATTAGTCAAATACCTACCAGTGGGTTGGGTGAAGACTGGAGGAATGGATCCAGGTGGTACAGGAGCTCCCATGGACTGATAATTTGGAAACACTGGTGGAGGTGGCGGCAAAGAAAAGTTCACTCCTAAAGAGCTCTAGTTAAGAGAGAATAATTTATTGTAACAGGCTCAATGCAATAAAACAAGACAAAGATACTAGATGTTATACAGTCCACTGTTCTCACCAATCGTTGTAATGCAAAAAATGCAGCTCTCTCCTTGGCTTCATTTTCAGAGTGACACTGAGGTCCATGTACTAATAAGCCATTGGATAATTTTACTTGACAAACTGTCATGGTCTAAGAAAATAACATAAAATAGATTTTTTTCATGAAATTTTTTTGTCATCACTATATGCAAGCAAACAGAAGAGCTAAAAATTAAGACAGATTAACATAAATTAATACAATAGTTTTTAGTATTTTATTTTTGGAAATGAATCAAACCAAACAAGAGACAGTAAGGTCTCATCTATACTGGGATTTTAGTTATTAGTGCAAATTCATAGCAAAGGGCATGATTTACATGTGTGCAGTTTACTCCACCGGCCTGTAGTTCTACCTATAAAACAAGCCTTACCTGTGGTGTTCTGAGGAAAGAGAAATCTGGTTGTGGCATTCCAACCAGGGAACAAATACGAGAGAGTTCAGATACTGGGGTAGACAACGCAGACTGTGGGCCAAGGAGAGGGTGACCTCCAGTTTCCAAAACCTGAGCATTATGAGGGCCTCCTACACTATGAGGCTTGTTCATGTAAGCAGCTATAAAAAAGAAAGAAAGTAAGAAAAAAAATAGTATCAGGCAAAAATATAAAATGACAATTCTAAAACACCAACACAGAAGCAAGTATATTTGAATACATTCCTGGTATTTTCAGAATGTCTGACTTTAATGCTACGCATTCAAGAAATTACTTGGGTAGTGTAGGGATTTCCAGTGCTGAATAGTAAAAAGGGGATAGAAAATATAGAAAATTCTACTGTTTGATCCTGAAAACCAGTATCAATAGCAATCTTTTTACTAATTGTAGAGATAAGTTAACATAAGGCTCTTTTGCCTATTTTGTCGAGGATTAGCTGGTATATGTACATACCCATTTTTTTTGTTTGTCTATGCTGCATGGCAGCCCCATGGGAATCCTGCCTAGCAGAGGAAGCAGGAACTTCATTAATCAGTGGCTTCGTTTCATTCTTTGTTTCTATGTCAGAGCCATCAATCTTCAAAATTTCTTTGAGCATCTGTGTTCCTTTCTTTAGAAAAGAAGAAAATATTCAGTAATCCAATGAAGTTTAGATAGCACTATTCAAAGTGAATAAAAAATACTGCATAATGATAATCAAAATTGCAACTTTTGATTTCCCTGAAAAGTAATATTTTACTATTATCTATATATGTTATTTGCTTTAATAAAAGTTAATTAAATATCATTATGTTTAATAAAGAAATATGTAGTTTTGTTTGTAAACAGAAGTATAAGAAGCTAAGAAAGCAAATGCTAAATTGTCACCCAATGGCTCCCACAATACACAAACCATAGCAAAAGACTGTGGAGACAGATGTTCTTCATTGGTGATTCTTTCTTCCTTTGGATAAGATGATTGCACTTCATTTTCTTTGGAAATTTTCAAAGATGCTAGAAGGTTTTCAAGTTCAGAGTCCTTCTAAGGAATAGAGGTAAGAAGATACTAAAAAATTAATGTAAAACTTTGTACTTAAAATAATAAATGCCATGACCAGAAATAACTGGTTTAAAGAAAGATTAAGTCTACTTCGGGCTATTTAATTTGGTCAGTGTCTGATCCTAATGTGGCTCTCTATATGTGGAACTCCATTCAAGTCAATGGGGATTGTGGGCATAGAGTGACTTCCAGGTTGAAAGTATCTAAGCCAGGCGTAGGCAACCTGCGGCACGCGAGCTGATTTTCAGTGGCACTCACACTACCCAGGTCCTGGCCACCGGTCCGGGGGGCTTTGCATTTTAATTTAATTTTAAATGAAGCTTCTTAAACATTTTAAAAACCTTATTTACTCTACATTCAACAATAGTTTAGTTATAAACACACGAAACCTTAAATTAGAGTGAATAAATGAAGATTTGGCACCCTGCTTCTGAAAGGTTGCCAGTCCCTCTAAGCATTAAAGGGCCAAACTAGTCAGAAGCATGCTCACATTTAACGAGCCAACTTTTACCTTCCCAGCTATACAGGACTCATCAACTGAAGCCTTCTGAATTACAGGCACACTTGGACTTTCATTCCTCTTCAAAAGCTTAACATTATATTTATTTGCTCCTGCAAAATTCTGAAAGAAATTGCAATATTGATTATTACACACTAACACCTCACAGTTAAAATGCAGATCAGCTGAAAATAATCTGCAAATTGTATTTCACAAGCTATCATTCTTGTATCTGAATGGACTACACCCTAATGGAAAATCCATGATAACATCTACGTTTTGCAATTATAGCATCAGCTTTAAACATCTGAAGCCAGAAAAACTGCAGAATAATGAAAACAATGGAAGAGATTAAAAAAACTTCTGACATGCTTGCCAGCATCAGTCTTGGAATGACATGTCATAATATGTATCATGTCTGACAAAAGCATCACCTCTCATTTTCTGCCTGTAAAGGCTCCAAAAACAATGGTACAATGTTATATAAAATTTCTAAAGGATAAAAACTGCCACAAATACAAGAACCTTCTGATAGCTGGCAGCAGAATTCACTGAGCTGCTCAGTGGAGAAAATTTGTAAAATGATGAATTAGAAAATAGTAATAAAAACAATTAAATAATTATTGGAATACATGTTCTCAATATAAGAGGAAATATACCTGTTTATTTGATATTTTGTGTGTTTGACCTTCATTTCTTGGAACTTTAGAATCTTCTTTAACTACAAATAAATTAGTTTACAGTATCAGCTGCGCAAAGGACCATTTATTCTTTTTAACTGCTTTTAAAAGATATGAAAATAATCAAATTGACTCCAGAAACCATTATATGTCCCCAGTTAGATTAAATCAGAATTATACTTGAGTTTATGTATCAAAATTTGTTAACTCCAACTTCACTATTCCTATGCACTTTTCTTGACAGGATAAGAGAAGCAAACATTAAATTTATGTGATAATGCTTATGTAGCTTTACTCATGTCTAGTAAACATGTTTACTTTTGCTTTCAAAGGTTGTACATGCAAAAACATCCTCTATAAGTTTGATAATGTGGGTCAATTTGTAGAGAGGTCAGATATGCTTAAAAACAGCCAATCCTGGTCCTTTTGGGCTCAGTGGGACCAGGATTTGACCAAAATATATACAGTAAAACCATTTGTTTATAAAATGTTGATGGCAAAGAAACTCTGCAGATATTTCTATAAACAATCAGAAACACAAGCCAGGTTTTTCAAAACTAGATTTCTAATTATAGTACTTACACTTTTTAAATGGCTCCTGTTTTCTTTGCTGGCCTTTAAGGATACTCTCATTGAAGCCTGGTTTGTACAACTGGTTGTCAGTTCCTGGCTTTGTTTCTTGAGGTAGGATTGCACCCTAGGAATTGAAATATTCACACATTTCATATTAACCAGAAGACAGACACACAATCATTTACAATCTTTACAAGAGGTCATCACCTCTTTCTACAATTTTTAATAAAGTTTTATCATATTACACAAAACTAGCTAGTCTGAACTTTGATATTAGCCTAAAAATGTTTAACCTTGTGATGAATTCAGTGAAAATGAAGAGATAACTCTATATTTTACGTTGTCCATACATACATATTTTCTCTCTAAACAGAAGGAACTTCAGTGAAAATGTTACTCACAATGTCAGTTATACACTAACCTTTTCATTCATATTTTGTTGAACATGTTGAGATTTTCCAGAGCCTTGCAGTGATTGCCAAATGCTGCAAAATTCATCATCCTGTTTACTCTGAGCCTGGCAAAATATTAAAAAAAAAACAACCTATAAATACAACTTTTGCATCAATAGAGATACAAATAATTTATTAAGGCTTGATTTTCAAAGGTACTGAGCAACTGCCCTTCCCAATGACTTCAAAAAGAATTTTAAGGTGTTTGTAACTTCTGAAAACTAGGCCACAAATATTTATACGATGACTTTCCCTAAGTGTTTCCCTAAAATGTTAAAATGGGATTAGTTTGTTTTGATGTTTTCCCTTCATCAGTAACCTCTAAATATTACTAAAATGAAAGAGTATAACAAAATGTATTTCAAGTTTTCTTCCAAAGGCATGCATGTTCCCAGGCCATTATCTGTTTCATTGTTAAGGCATTGATCTTGCAAACCCTCATCCAACAGATCTACTCACTTGAGTAAAGTTATACATGCATTTGTGTAGGAATGGGGCTCAAATATGTAAACAATTATTAAGAGGATTTTATGGCTTAAATGGGAAGATGTAGTAAAAAAAACAAAGTATTTTTTTGGTATTTTTTTTTTAAATTTAAATCAGTTTTTTTTTAATTTTGTCATTTAAATTATACTACATTTTTCTTTTTAAAAATAAATCTGTTTAAATGAAATCCGATTTAAATATAAAATATGTTAAGGCTTAACCTTACTATAATCTCTTAAATCATTTAAATAAAAATAAATATTCTGAATCAATGGGCCTCTATCAAAAACTGAGTTAAATGCTCCTTTTCTATATAAAGAAAGAATCAGGGGAAAAATTCTAACTCTTGAGGTCAAGCTTTATACATATGGCACAATAGATCAGCTTAAGTTACTTAGGAGACTGTCTCATTTTCAAGAGACTTAGGTAATTAGGAACTTAAACTCCAGCCACTTTCACTTAGACTTATTTGAAAATTTTCCCAGGCTGACTTGAAACAGTCAGTTTAATTCACTGACTACAGTTACTCCCTCTGTTTAATAAATCATTTAGTTGGAAAAGTGAAACATGTTTCAAAAAGAGAAGTTTATGGATCCAAAAAAGTTAAGGGTTTGTTTAATAAAAATAAATTTTATATGCTGTTTTGCATGTTTAATTAAATTCCAGTTACCATTCTAATCCAGCTTGACACAAATCATTAGCAAAAAGTTAATTATCTAGTAAATAAGCAAAATATCTTTCACCATTTTCTTACCTAAAATGTACAATAAGAATCTGAAAATAAGCAGCTATATAATTGCTTAAATAAATGAATACAGATAGTGTAGCACAAAGATGACCAAATCTAGCGAAAATGCTCTATTTAGTTGTAAATCAACACATTTTAATGGATATATCAATGACAATGCACCATTCTTTAGAAAATAACGAGTACAAATTGAAAAGTTAATTAAAATTGATTTAATTCAAGGCTTTCCACTTGGTGATTTAAATAATGATTTAAATTGCCTTGATTTAAATCAATCCATACTGAAATGGGTTAATACACTCACTTCCTTACAGACTCATTAAAGGCTGCCTCAGTCTGAATCTGGATTACAAAACACCTGTGTTTGACATGTGTAGTCTGGCAGTGCTAAAAATCTGTAAAGCCATGGCAAAAGGACACAACTGTAAATAGTGAGCCATTACAAATACTAACAAGCAAGCTGGAAATCCAGCCATACTCACAGCAACAGCTTAACTCTTACTGTGTATTCATTTGAATCCATTATCTTTTTATACTGTGATGATCAGGATAGTGTATAACTTCCTTTTGGCAAGTATACTTTGCTAAACAACAACCAGTTTAATTTTCCATTTGATTGTGAGTGATATTTGCACCAATGTTTTCAAAAGGTTTAAATCCATCTGCACATAAAATGAATATGGATTTTTTAATACCCAATAACAAATCATAACACTTACTTTTTGTTTCTGATTGCTGCCCAAAAATGATCCTTTCTGTAGTGAAATGGAATTGCCCTGATTTTCAGCCCTGAGATTGTAATGCTGTCTTCCATTCAGTTGCTAAATCATCGATTTAAAAAAGTAGGTAAGAGGTGTTTCATTGTTTAAGTTATTTTGTAGAATGATTTTTCTTCCACAGATTTACATTATGAGAAAATTCTTAAACAAGAAATCATCCCTCAAACTCTCATTGTTCTTTAAAGAAACTGCTCATTAAGATAAAATAGTTAAATTAGGCCTATGACAACTCAGTCTTATTCATGCCATTTTTCTTGTGTATTATATTTCCAAAATGAACTGTATTCTCACCAAGTTACAAAATAGATAGCACAGGAAAATTAAGTCTTCAATTTATTCTCAGCAGGGATACAATCCTGATCCAGAGGAACAATCACTATTGATGGGGGTGGGAACAAAGAAGATAGTTGTCTTTCTGCCAAGGTTGCTAATAGAAAGGCTACTTTAGACACTTGCCCACTAGTAACTGGACTGAAGCTACCAACTTCTTTCACAAAGGCCATCAAACTGCTGTTAGAGGGACCAAGGTTTTGGGCAATTTGAACTTTGGATGGATCTGAATTAGTGTGTTAGTGAATTAGTGTAAAAGGCTCCATATATTACTGAGTCACTAAACTCTGTCTAAACATAACCATGAAAAATACAAAATTCTTTCAGTATCAATGAAGATCCAACCACAGTACTAACTCCATTTCTATGGAAAAAGGATTGTATATAAACTAAAGAGAAAGATCTTACTCGAGTAGGAACAAAAAGGGAACGAGGAGAATGGTTGAGACCTCCTAGATGCACTTTTTGTGAGCATACAGATGATGAATCAGATGAGCATGAGTTGTAATGATTCACAGCTGGTTGTGGTTTCACTATGGCTGTCAGTTTCTGATTTCCTGTTTCGGACCGACTACCATGAGATAGGTTAATTAAGGCACTTGTTGGCAGACGATAACCTCTAGCAGGTGAGCACCTAAACAAAAAAGAGAAAAACAAGTTACATAATTGTTTTAAGTTGTTGATTGTCCACTGCCTGTATGTCTCGGTTAATAGTACTTTTGCCTCTGGGCTAAAAGGCCACGGATTCAAGACTGATAGCAAGACCTGGGACCATACCTAGTATTAAAATTGCAGTAATGTCCTTTGGCTATGATGTTAACCATATGATGTTCCCTCCTGCCTGCCTTTGGTGACTAGCCAAGTTAAATATAATACATAATACTACTCTTTGAGCTTACATAGCCCCTTTCAAGCAATGAGTTCAAAGCACTTTATAAATATTAGTTAATCATCACAGCATGCTTTTGAGGTCACTATTGTTATAACCATTTTACAGGATGATAAATTGACACACAAAGATATTAAGTGATTTGCCTAAGGTCACACTTCAAGCCAGCACCAGAATAAAAAACAAAACATTAGTGTCCTGGTTTCTAGTAACTTCTATATCACATAATTTCCTAAAAAAAAGTGTCCTAAAATGGAAATTGTAGGGTACTCAGTGCTTTTGAAAATATGACTACTGATTTAAGTACCTAAATATGAATTTTGGATCCATAATAGAATGAACTGGCCCTTAAAGGGAAATTGGGATCAGCCCCACCTGTCCCTACTTTGCCTCTCAGGGGATGGTTTGGGATGGTGGTTGGGTTGGGTGACCTAGATCACAGGGTAGCCCAAGAGCAAGGACTTCTGTACGAGGTTGCCTGCTCCCTCAAAGTAGGAAACCACCAGAGGGTAGGAAAGACCTAGAAGAGATCTCTCCATAGAGGGTCAGAATCTGGAGTGGGCTGGCAGAGCTGGGACCTAATGCTTGATACAAGGGTGAAGGGAAGAGAGCTGCAGGGAACCCAGAGGGGATCCGGGGTCAGGAAGGACTGGGGAAGAAGCTGTCCCTACCAGCCATTAGGAAAGGCGTGTCTGGAGCTACTTGCAGAAGGAGCAAAATATTTTAGAGGGAATTAGGAGCTCAGGAAGGGCATGGAAAGGGGACAAGATCTAAGGAGACATTGCAGAGGAGCTAGGACTCTTTTATGGAGAGAAACCCACAGGGGGTAGAGTAGGCTTCTGGTGGTGAGGGCCTACAACAACTGGAAGAGATCCACAGGGAGCACAGTAGTCTCCTGTGGGAGGAAGCCCTGAGATTAGGTTTCGTAAGTGGAAGCAGAAAACTTCAGTAGCCTAAGGGAGCAGAAAAATTATTTGGATTTTCATTTGGATCTTTCAGTTACCCCAAGAGGGGGTTGAACTTTATGTCACTTGGCAGAAAGGCTGAGCCACAGAAGACCATGTGAGAGACAGACAGCTTGCAAGAGGTGCTTCAGCTCAGGATTCTAGTGACATTAAGCATGGATGCAAGGGGGTGCTCCAAACTGGGAGTGTGCCCCACTGCACATTTATTTTATATTAATAAACCAGGCTACAGCAGGGGAGAATAAACAAAAAGCATTGGTTGGTTTAGCTGCAGAAAAGGGGACCTTGAGGCAGCAGCAGGATCTGAAAATGGATGAGGCAAGAGCCTGTTACAGGAGCATAACTGTAGGAGGTTATTCACCCTGTGCCATAACTGAGGCTCTTCAAGATGGTTGTCCCTGTGGGTGCTCTATTTTAGGTGATTCCGCACCCCTGTGCTTATAATCGCAGATTTATAGTACCAGTGCCTGGTTGAGTTGCACATGCGCTGTCCCTGTCTTGCACCGCCTCAATTGGTTACATAGCACCATGCGACCAACACCCCCTCAGTTTCTTCTCTATCTCAGAGTATCCAGCGTGAAAACTCTGAAGAGGAGACAGAAGGAAGGGTAGTGGAGCACCCACAGGGACAACCATCTCAAAAAACCTCAATTACTGCACAGGCTAAGTAACCTTCTCTTCTTTTTCTAGCAGTATCCCTGTGCATGCTCCACTTTAGGAGACTGTAGAGTGCCCCTCGGTGGAAGGAAGGGGCTTCAGAGTTGAAGTCATGATAGATGACAAAATCATAATCCGCATAAAGCATCCGAGGATGAATTCTGCTCTATGGCATAAAGTTGTGTGAATGTATGGGAGGATGCCCAGGTTGCTGTTTTGCAGATGTTCATAATGGGGACATTGTTAAGGAAGGCTATCAAAGCAGAGAGAGCTCTGATGCAGTGTATGAGAGTCCCTGGAGGGGGTTGTAGCTGTTGTTGGTGATAACAAAAGTCAATGCATCTGGAGATCCATTTAGACAGCCCCTGTTTAGATATGGCATTTCCTTTTGATCGTTCTGCGATGGAAAGGACAATTTTGGTGACTTTGTGAAAGTCTTTGTTCTCTCGATGTAAACGGCTAGCACCCTTCCGACATTCAGGGTGTGAAGTGCTGCTTCTCTTTTATTCCCATCGGGTTTTGGGAAGAATGATGGGAGGTGAATGGGTTGATTAGATAGAATGAAGAGGCAACCTTAGGTAAGAACTTGGGATGCGGTCTTTAGGTAACTTTATTTTTGAAGACTGTTGTGCATGGGTCAGTGTGCCATAAGGGCTCCCCGTTTCCCCCCATGAATCGTTGTTGGGGCAGTGAGGCTGTAGCCTCCGGAGAACTAAGGTAGGCCCAGATGAACTCCAGTTTCTGCACTGGTGCGAATGCTGATTTCTGTGCATTTACTTGTAGGCCTAGACATGTGAAAAGAACTATTGTATTTTAAGTAGCTTCTAGTGCCCCTTGTTGAATCAATGCTTTGAGTAAACAATCATCCAAATAGGGGAATATTATGACCCCTTGTCTGCATAGGTGAGCCACCACCACCATGAGAACTTTCAAAAATACCCGTGGGGCCATGGACAGTCCGAAGGACAGAACTTTGTACTGAAAGTGGCTGGCTCCTAGAACAAACCTGAGGAACCTTCTGTGTGAGAAATGTATTGGTATATGAAAATATGCATCCTGGAGGTCAAGGACAGAGAACCAGTCTCCTCTTTCCAGTGCGGGAATTATGCTTGCTAATGTGACCATCCTAAAGTGTTGGGTCTTCATGAATTTGTTGAGTTTCCTTAAGTCAAGAATGGGCCTCCATCATTCTGTTTTTTTTCTAGGTTAAAAAGTCATGAGAGTAAGATTCCCTCCCTCTATGTTGTGTTGATACTAATTCTACTGCACCTAGGTGTATGAGATGGTTTATGTCCTGTCACAGTAGATGTTCATTAGAGGGGTACCTGAAGATGAACAGGGATTGAGGGTGTGTGTGTGGGGGGGAACCGAGGTAAATGGGATGGAATAGTCAGTCTCGATGATCTCTAATACCCATCTGTCTGACGTGATGGTCTGTCAAACTGGATGGAATGGGGTCAGACAGTCTCTGAATGAATGGATGGGAGGTGGTGGGTGTTTCCAGCACTTGAAATTGTGGGTATCTCGGGCCCTCAACCAAAATTGTTGTCTTGAAGTATTTGCTGGGCTGTCAAAGACTGGGACAGGGACTGTCGTCATCTTTTAGGTCTCTGCTTCAGTCTTTGAGGTTGTGCATAAGGCAAAGACCGGAATCTTTGTGCTGAGCCATACTTGTCCTGTTTTTTCTTATTCTTAGGCATGTACATGCCCAAGGATTTCAGCGTTGCTCTGGAGTCCTTCAACGTGTGAAGGGATTCATTGGTTTTGGATGCAAATAACTTGGGGCCTTCAAATGGGAGATCCTTGACCGTTGATTGTACCTCTTTGGGAAACCCAGAAAGGTGGAGCCTGGATGCGCATTGCATAGAATCATAGAATATCAGGGTTGGAAGGGACCTCAGGAGGTCATCTAGATCAACCCCCTGCTCAAAGCAGGACCAATCCCGAGACAGATTTTTGCCCCAGATCTCTAAATGGCCCCCTCAAGGATTGAACTCACAACCCTGGGTTTAGCAGGCCAATGCTCAAACCACTGAGCTATCCCTCCCCCCCACTGAGCTATCCCATGACTACGGCTGGGGCGATGGAACATGCCGCTGTGTCTGCCGAGTCCAGTGAGACTGAAAGGCTGTTTGAATGAGAAGATGGTCCTCCGAGATGGTCGCCCTGAATTGTTCCTTCTTTTCTTCAGGCAGAAACTCAATAAAATCCAATAGTTTTGAGTAGTTTGTATAATTGTACTTGGCCATTAACGCCTCATAGTTGGTGATCCTAAATTGTAGAGTTGCTGATCAAAAGGCCTTACAACCAAAAAGGTCTAGTCTCTTCCAGTCCCTGTAGTATGGGGTGGTTCTGGAGTGGTGTTTTCTGCCCCATTCATTCACTGCTTCCACCATCAGGGAGTTTGGTGTGTGGTGTGAAAAAAGGAATTCCACTCCCTTAGACAGGACATAATATTTTTTATCTGCCCTTTTGCAGGTGGATGGGACTGTTGGTGGGGTCTGCCAGATGGTTTTGGCTGGGTCCATGAAGGAGTCATTGATTGGTATTGTGATTCTGGAGGAAGTTGATGTGTGTAGTATGCCCAGCAGCTTATGCTAGGAGTCAGGCACCTCCTCTCGTGGAATGTCCAAGGAATCTGGAACTCTCTTAAAGAGCTCCTGAAATTGTTTAAAATCATCTCATATGGTGGGAGCATGATGGTTTCATCGGGGGAAGAGAATGAGAAAGTTGGCTGCTTGTGCAGCTTCTTGGTCTGAAGCCTCCTCCAGTTCCTCAGCCACCTTTTCTGGAGGTTCGGAGGGTCCTGGTACAGAGAGTGAAGGGGAATGTCTTGACCTCACCCTGGATGGACTGGAAGCCTTGTGGTATTGTGTTCGGTATGCTGCCCATGGTTCCCAGTAAGGCCACTTGTGGTGGGAAAGTCATAGATCGTGGCATCCATGGGCGTCTGTACTAGCTCTGAGTTTGAGAGTATCAGAAATAGGATGAAATTTAATAGTGAAAAGTGTAAGGTGATGCATTTAGGGATGACCAACAACAATTTTAGTTACAAGCTGGGGACGCATCGGTTGGAAGTAACCGAGGAGGAGAAAGACCTCGGGGTCCTTGTGGACCGCAGGATGACTATGAGTCGACAATGTGACGTGGCGGTGAAAAAAGCCAATGCGGTCTTGGGATGCATTAGGCGAGGTATATCTAGTAGGGATAAGGAGGTGCTGCTTCCGTTGTATAAGGCGCTGGTGAGACCTCATTTGGAGTACTGTGTGCAGTTCTGGTCTCCCATGTTTAAAAAAGATGAACTCAAACTGGAACGGGTACAGAGAAGGGCCACTAGGATGATCAGAGGAATGGAAAACCAGTCGTATGAAAGGAGACTCGAGGAGCTCCGGTTGTTTAGCCTGACCAAACGAAGGCTGAGGGGGGATATGATTGCTCTCTTTAAATATATCAGAGGGATAAATACCAGGGAGGGAGAGGAATTATTCCAGCTCAGTACTAATGTGGACACGAGAACGAATGGATACAAACTGGCCGTGGGGAAGTTTAGGCTTGAAATTAGACGAAGGTTTCTGACCGTCAGGGGGGTGAAATATTGGTACAGCCTTCCGAGGGAAACGGTGGGGGCGAAGGACCTGTCTGGTTTTAAGATTAAGCTAGATAAGTTTATGGAGGGAATGGTTTAATGGAAAAACATGATTTTAGTCAAAGGAATACCGTGCCATGGCAGGTAAATAGTATAATGGCTAACGAGGGTCAGGCTGGAGACTCTTGCCTACATGCTCGGGGTTTTACTGATCGTCATATTTGGGGTCAGGAAGGAATTTTCCTCCAGGGTAGATTGGCAGAGGCCCTGGAGGTTTTTC